TTGCGGGTGCCCTCCCGCATCTCACCCTCCCGGGAAGCCTCACGCCGCTCCCACCGCGCCCCCTGCTCTTTCCTGGTCCTGTCCCCGCGACAGAGTGGACAGTGCTAAGGCATGACACACAGAGCCCTCGCTGTAGACCTGCCTGCCTTCTCCGTTCTTGGCACGTTAATCCGTCTAATCCCCAAATAAGCCTTTGACGATGGGGCACAGAGAAGCCGCTCAGCTAGTGAGTAACAGCTGGACCCACCCCCAGGCAGCCTAGCGTAGGGGTGCTGGGCCTCCCCAGAACAGGGGCCCCCCAAGGTCAGCTGACCACCGCTCCCTCCGTGACACTTAGCAAGGCGTCTGCCAAGCTGCCCTGCAGACTGAATGAGCCTGCCCTTCGGGGGCATGTGGGAGAGTCCCAGGGGAGCTGGTATTTTTGAATGAATGAGTGAGTATTTTTAGGGGAGCAGGCAGTGTGCTAAGTGTCTTAAGAGCATTGTCATTGGATCTTCCCGTGGCCCAGTGAGGCAGGTACTGCTACCGTTTCTGTTTTACAGAATGATTCATGGTGGCACGTGGCACAGCCAGGAAGCAGGCCGTGCTGACACGGAGCTGAGCAGCCCCTCCCGGAAACTGCACGTGGCCTGTGTTGGGCACACGCCACAGGAGGATGCTGGGGGTGGGGTGGGCAGGGACCGATGAGTGGTGCCCCCACTGCTGGGGACTAACACCACGCCTCCTCTCACCCCCTCTCCTTGCTGTGGGCAGGGATGGAAAGTCCGAGTGCTGCCTTTCCCAGTCTCCTGGCCGCCATGTGTGGTGTGAGATCAGATCTGGCAGAGACTTCGGAGCATCTGGCAGGGCCGGGGTCTGGACTTCTGAGAAGTAGGCGTGTGTGGTCAAAGGGAGGGTGCAGCTGGCTGCCCCTCCACCGTCTCTCCGTCGTGTCCTGGAACATGGGATTCAGCCGGAGCCGCTTAGCCACCAGACCAAGCCCAGCAACTGCTGACTTCTTATTTCATAGCAAAAAAAGTGAACCCCATTTGCTCTCTCCTCGTTGGGTTTTCTGAACACGAGACCAACGATGTTCTTAAATGAAACATGTAGGCACGTACAGGGGGCAAGGCTCCCAGGAGGCTTCAGAGCAGTGCACCCCTCAAAATAAGTGCAAGGGCTGGTGGGTCTCCCGCGATGTTTTACTTTTTAAATGTTTTATTGTGGTAAAAGTATATATAGTGTAAGAGTTACCATTTTACAAAGATACAGCCTTGAAGGAACACGCCAGAAGGTCTGGCCCTTCCCCTGTCTGGCCCTTGGTCTTGGGCCAGTGCCTCGTCCCCACAGACCTGCCGCCTGTGCTCTGTGTCCCTCTGGGAGCAGTGACCACCCCAGTGCAAGTCAGTCACCTGTGGCCCCAGGCAGGGGCCCTACCTCTCAAGGCTGCCACTGCTTGACCCTGTAGGTGTTTTGGGGAGGGGATCCAGACGGGGGGGTTGGCTGTGACTGTTGAGAAGGGGGAAGCAGGATGCTTGGCAGGTCCTGGGAGAAGGAGGGTGGGTGTTGCTGACGCCACAGTGGGCAGGCAGGGCTGATAAGGTTCTATTTTGGAGCCAAGTGGCTCTCGCGTCATCAGCCTGTCCCTGTGGGGATGCTCCACAGACGGCAGGGGGGCCGGTGGGAGGTCAGGGCTGTTTCAGCTCCTGGGGTACAGAGAGGCACTGAAAGACAAAGGTGGTAGAGAGGGAGGGGGCAGATGGGAGGGCAGCCGGCAGAGGGAGTCCTGTCCCCAAGGCTGCAGCCACCCCCTCCTGCCTTTGCCTCTTGTGCTGGCTCCTGGGGGGCAGGGCCCGTGGACAGACACCAGGAGTCTAGATTCCTCACACCCCTCCTCACTCACTAGGGTGCTCTGTACTACGGGACACAGCACCCTCCTGTGCCAAGGTTTCCCCTCCCCACTCCGGGTGGTGCACCACTGCTGTGGCTCCAGGGGCTTTGCCACCTCAGGGTGGGCGAAAGTCTTCCAGCTGCACCCCATCTATCCGAAGGTCCCTCATCTGCACATTTAGTCAGAAAAAATGAAGCCAAGTGCTGTGGCAGCCCTGCCTGTGGCTGTGCCTGGTCCTGAGCTAAGTCAGTGTCCAGGGGGGACGCTGGGCAGGGTGGGGAGTACCTGTCAGGTGGGCGACTCAACACCACACCTGGAGGCTCAGGGAGACCCAGCTGCTGTCAACATCCAGCCCACCCTGAGGGTCGCAGAGAGGAAGCTGGCATCCTCCATGCTCGCTGATGGGCAGTGCGTGGTCTGACCCCCAGGCAGCGCCACGTCTCTGAGGGCCTCCCCCAGCTCATGCCCTTCTGCATCTCCACACCCCATCCTCTGACCAGAGCGACCAGCAGTGTCTGCAAGGCTCCCAGCAAAGGCAGGGGAGTGGGTTGACCTATTACTTTCTAGTCTCTCCTGCATTTCTGCTGAGTGAAATCCAGCCGAGTGCCTGCACTGCCATCTCTGGGGCCCTCCCACCCCAACCGGGGGGTTTGGCTCAGCCTGTGTGGGAGCCAGTCTGCACTCAGGGTGAGCTGTGTGGGGCGCGTGGGTGGGTGGGCGGGGTGGGGTGTGGGAACAGGACAGCCGCAGGGAGGCGGATGCAGCTAAGAGCCCGTCTTCACCTTTGTCAGTGGAGTTAACACGTCTAAAGAAGGTGCACCCTGCCAGAGGTGGGGTGGGGGCAGGGCAGGGACTGGGGACCTGGCTGGGGGCTGAGGGGTTTCAGGATAAAATCTGAAAAGACCACAAACGGGGGCGGACAGTCACTGACTGTGAGGCCCCTGAGCCCCGTCCCCTGGGGTGCGGCTGGGCTCAGTGGGAGGGAGCTTCAGGCCTTGCTGGGAAGCTAATCTACACGGGAAAGAAAACATTTCTTGTTAATGAGCGTTCAGCTGGACGGTGCTCCTCAAAGCCGGGGAGGAGTCAGGCACCTCCATCGTGTTCTCAGAAGAACCAACCGGGCCTGGTCCTGCAGAGACTCCCCACAGACCTGCCTGCACCTGTCCTCTCCCCTGGGCTGGCTCCTCGCCTTAACCGAGAGGAAAACCTCTTCTCACACATTTGCCCCTGGAAGTGGGCTCGGGCCTGAGTCAGGCTCCTGCCTCCCAAGAAACTGGGAGCTGGGCGTGACCTGTCAGAGCCATGGCCCAGCCCCCGGGAGCTGTCTTGGGCTGTAAAACTCGCAAGAGGCTCATTGAGCTTTTAGACAGTTTTACACAGAAAGGGGCGGGAAAGATCCTGGGATTACAAGTTTCCTGAAGGAAATGCCCCAGAAAAGGGCTTCCTTCCCTTTCTGCACGGGGAGTGCTAGCCTCTTCCTATTTCTGGGCACCTCAGCGGCACAGCAGGCCTGTTTCCTGGGCCTCGAGCTTCTGCGTGTCCAGCAGCCCGAGTGAGGCTGGCTGCCGCTGGGGACCCCAGCCTCTGCATCCCGGGTCTGCAGGGGGTGGGTTGGGCAGCAGGGTTTGGGTTGGAGCCTGGGACGGACGGTGGTCCTCTGCAAACCCTCGGACTGAATGTGAGCCCCGCGGAGGAGGAGGCAGGGGCCAAGAGCCCACAGGAGCTGGGGTGGGCATCCTGGACACAGTCCCAGGGAGGGCCACAGGCTGGGACACCTGCTCAGGGGCCCTAAGGGAGTTGGGGGGAGGGGTCTCTGGACCGAGACTTTTATGATCACTGATGAGCAATAGTCAGATAACTTCCAAACTCAAGTGTCAGTGTAGTGACTAAAACGACCAAGTCCCAGATCAAGCTCTAAACTGAGCACCTCTCTGGGCAGCCACTTTAAAGATCCAACTACAACTTCCACCTGACTGGCAGGTCCTGCAGCTCCCTTCTCTAGGAGGCCAGGACCAAGGCTCCACTGTTCATCCGACTCCCCCGTACTCCCAGTCAAAGAGCCCCAACATTTAAACTGATGTGGAGAGGAAGGGGGGTGGGGGTTGAGGGGAAGAGATCATGTGCTCTGTCCAACCTGGTGTGAAAGGACGGTGGGTGTTTCCCTGCGTTGTCTCTTTTCTTACCGTTTCTTTAATAAATGGGATGAGAGGGGAAACAACAAAAACAGAGCACCGCTCCCCACAAAAATGCTTCCCTCCAGGACGGGGGTGAGGTCGGCCCCTGCGGGGGGAGGGGGGTCTTGGGGGAGCAGGAGGCCGGCTCAGCTGTCCTTGTCCACACCAGGACTCGGTGCCCACTCTCCACTCCCCCATGGGCACTCTGGAGGTCCCTGCTCTTCCAGCCCCAGTTGTGAGGTGAGGTGGGCGATGGGACACTGCCGGCCTCTATGAAAGCCCCTCCCTCCGCAGCCACCTGACCCTGAACCCTGAGCCTGCAGCCGGGCCCCAGCATTCCCCTGCAGGTCCCCGAGCCCCTCCTCGGGTCACGGTGCCTCGCCTGCACTTCCAAGTCAAGTCTGGTGTGTTTTCACATGGGTTCCTCAGGGCCTTGCACGCGGCCCAGCACCCCCCACGCGTCTGCAGAGACAGTCCCGGGCTGTGCGCTCCGTGTCCCAGGAGGGCAGAGCGGGTGGAACTTCCGAGCGACGGTGGGCTCAGGGCCCAGGGCAGGGGTGGGGAGCCTTTTCTCTGCCAAGGGCCGTGTGGATGTTTATACCACCATTCGAGGGCCATCCAGAATTACCCACTTAAAAATTAGGCGGCTACTTTTGGTCAAACATTTAACTCACCCCAAGGCGTGGGCAGAGCCAGACCCGGTGATGTCGTGGGCCTTCTGCAGCCTGCAGGCCGGACACTCCCCACCCGTCCTAGAGGTTGGCCTCTGGCCGGGGCCCTCCCTCTCAGGCCTCAGTGTCCCCATCTGTAAGCTGGGCAGTGTGGGAAGAACTGAGGGGCTGGTGGTCCCTGCATCTGGCCCTCAGCTTCCCTCTGTCCCCCTCCGCACGATCACACACACACACACACACACACACACACACACACCCTGTCACAGAGAGGCCACCACACAGGGCTCCTGGGAAATGGCGTTTATTGAGGTGCCAGAGCATGGCCCTGAGTCTTGCCGCAGCCTCCGTCACTCCTCTTTCTCGTCCCCGTGGGTGATGATGTAGCACAGGGACTTGTAGTCGATGTCCCCAGCCAGGTCCACGGGCGTCAGGGCGAACATCTGCTCCACCTGGAGAGGGGGGCAGTGAGAGGCGGCCGGTGAGGGAGGCGGGTCCTCCGCCTTTGCAGGCCCAAACCTAAACTCTGAGCTAACATTTCCTCTTGTCTGACTTTGGGCAGCCTGGGGAGAGGGTGGGCCCCTAAGGGGCCATGGGTCAAATAGCCCCCTCTGGCCCCAGACACCCCTCTCTGTGCCACCTTCACCCCCAGTGAGCCCTCCTCCAGACACTGCAGGTGCCCCTGCACACCCTCTCCCTGTGGACTACACAGTCTTCACCCTCCGGGTCTCCACAGGGATGGCATCTCCTCTGGAGAGCTGGGCTCCAAGGCCAGGAGCCACGCCCCTGAGGCTCCCCAGGGCCCCTGGGGTGACCCCCACGAAGGAGCCGGCGTCCTCACCTCGGCCTGAGAGAACTTGTCTGCCTGGGTCAGGAGCAGCTGCTTGAACCTGGGGAGCGAGGAGCAGTGGGAGCCTGGGGGGGCCGCACGGCTCAGGGATGACGGCCCGGTGGTCCAGAGAGCAGGGAGGGCTCCAAATAAGGGCGGTCCCCCTCCAGGGCCTCCCCACAGCCTGGCCAGCTCCCACTTACTCGTCCTTGCTCACCACGCCCTTGCCACTGGGGTCGAACATTCGGAAGGCGCTCAGGATGGCTTCCTCGGGGTCTGTTCCTGGGAGGCCGAGGGGCCGGGTGAGCACCCATGGCCCAGCCTCCAGGTTCACCCAGGAGGAACCCAGGTGCAGGGAGCCCTCCACACCCCAGAAGAGGTGGAAAGGGGTCTCCGGTTAGAGTGTCCCTGAGGCTCAGAGAGGCCAAGAGGGAAGTCCTAGGGTGGACAGGTCTGGAGGGAGACTGGGATTTGGGAGCAGAGACTGAAGACACATTGGGTCCAGGCGGGGGGCGGGGGGGGCGGGGGTGGGGTCCAGGCGGGGGGCGGGGGGTGGGATGCGGGGGGCGGGGGGCAGGGGGTGGAGTCCAGGTGGGGGACGGGGGGGGGGGGGGGGCGTTCAAGCTCACTGCCCTCCGGGGGATCCCGACCTGCCCTGCTCACCATTGAGCTTCTCTCCGAAGAGCGTGAGGAAGACGGTGAAGTTGATGGGGCCCTTCCCCTCCTGCAGCATGGCATCCAGCTCCTCGTCCGGGACACTCACCTTCCCTGGGGTGGGGGGCAGAGGTGGATACAGGGACCCAGGTGTCCCAGGCAGGGCTCAGGCTGCCCGCCCCTCCTTCCAGCCAGACATGGAGAGCCAGAGGCAGCTGTGGGTGGGGGAGGTGGGGAGTACAGGGAGGAGGAGGTCTGTCCCCCCTCAGCGGGCTCCCAGAGTGAGCAGGGGGCTCATGGGTGGAAGGGGGTGTGCTCACCCAGCTGGGAATAGGTCTCCCGAAGGTCCGACTTGCAGATGATGCCGTCACGGTTCTGGTCAATGCAGCTGAAGGCCTGGGGTGGGGGCCACAGTCTCCAGTTGGGAGCAGCCCCCACCCCAGTGAGGGAGGATGGGAGGGAGTGCTGGGTGTGGGAAGAGCAGGGCCAGGGGCCAGGACCACCTCCAGGGAAGGGGTTCGGGGCAGGTGCTGGGGCGGGGCACTCACCTCCTTGAACTCCTGGATCTGGGCCTGCTCGAACATAGAAAAGACGTTGGAAGAGCCTCGTTGGGCCTGCTTGGTGGCCGCGGCCTTGCCCCGGGTCCCCGCCTTCCTGCTGGCCTGCAACATTGTGGGTGGGGAGGGGTCCTCTCCAGGGCTCCCCCAAGATGCCCATGCACACCCCAGAGCCTTCCCAGGAGAGCTGGGGTCAGGGTCCTCTCCCCACCCCTGGAGGCACAGAAGTCGCTGCCCTGCTCTCCCACCCCAAGGACAGCCCCAGGGTGCCACTGCCCTTGCCCCACCCTGGCCCTCACCATCCTCTCTCAGTGGCAGCCTGGTGGCCGAGGGGCCTGCAGTCTCCCTTATGTCGCAGCCTTATCACCTGCAGCACCAAATAAGGAGAGGAGGAGAGGACAGACCCAAACTTGGCAGCCCTTGCCTGGGCTTGGGGAGGACAGGGCCCCAGATTCCAGCCACATTCCAGTGACCCTCAGGCCCCTGACATGTAACACCCGGGTGTCCACCATCCGGGAGGCGTGGGCTCAGGCCTCCTAAGAGCAGAGAGCAGAGCAGGTGCTGAGTGATGGGCCCCTGTCACCTCCATCTGACTGTCCCTCCTGCAGTCCAGCCCAGACCTGCCCAGTCCAAGAGGACAGTGGGGGGAGGGGGAGGGCTGCCTGGGGGCCTGGAGGGCAGTGGTGGTCTCTGGCCGGGATCCCCAGGGACTCCCAGAGGCCTTGGTGCAGAAGCTTGGCCCGGCCTCCGGCCAACCCAGAGGCAGGAGGCGGCCCTGAGCTGGCTGTGACCCCAAACAGAAGCTGCATGTGAGGCTTTCGGAACAGGGCCTGGACCCCAAACAGTCACTTTCCTCGCCCCCACGCCCCCATGAAAGTGGGTCATGAGCCCCTGATGCGAGCTCAACTGCTGAGTGAGGGGTCAGGACAAAGACAGCATGGCGAGCAGACCTGGAGCAGGAGTGGCCCTGCTGCCCCCTGCTGGATGGGGCGAGGCCTGCAGGCGGCCCGGCTGCGGAGCAGGGCCGCACGGCTTTTGTAGAACAAGGAAATATTTTAGGGCACCTTCTTCCCGCCCCTGAAACGAAATTCACACAGAGCACTTGAAAAATCAATACCATGCCCTGCACTGTAGCCTCAGGACAGCTAGGCAGTAATTCCTGTCGAAAGGGACCCGATGCGTGGCCTCGACCTGGACGGGAGTGCATCAGCACGGGGAGTGGAGTAACAGCTGCAAGAAGCTACTGCATAATTTAGAGGCCAGAGAGCTAGCGACCGGAGCAGCGCACCTGAGACCCAGGGAACGAGAGGACAGCTTGGCACGGCCTGCTCACAATCACATCGAGTTAAGCTCCGAATGAAGCAAGTCATCCCAGATTCGCTGGGGACTTTCTCTCACTGGAAATCATACAAATGTGTTTCTGTGTAAGTGGGTTTAGGTGTGGGACGGAGGGACCCCCTGTTGAGGCAGACCTGGGGCAGGACCAGCCCCCAGAGACCAGCCCTGCCTCCTCCTGGGCACTTCCTGGGGCTCCCGGAGGTTTGATCAGGGCATCCACACCCCAAATCCCACAGGCAGGTGGGGCCTGGGCACATCTAGGACCTCTGACACCACCCAGATGGCATCAGTCCTGCTCCCACGGACTGGTCTCTTGCTCCGTGTTCTGTCCGCCCCCTCCCCCCGCCCCCCCCCCCCCATTGCTGGCCGGAGGAAATAACAAATCAGTGTCTGCACACAGGTGACCACGTCTGTACACTGTCCCAAGTCCTTGTGCACAGAAGTTAAAGAACGCGGACCAGGCCATGCTCTAAACTTTTAAAACTTTTAATTAAAAAACCACCCAGTCCCATGTTGGGCATGAAGAGACTGGTGGTCCCCTGGAGGCTGTGCTGGGTGCTGCTGGCTGGTGTGTGGCAGCCCCATGGCGGGGGTCCTCCTCTTCCTGGGTCCTTGACGGGCTGTGGGGGCTGGTCTCTTGCACCTCCTGTGAGCGTCCATCCCTCAGGAGAGGCGGGGTGGGCGGGAAGAGGCTGCCATCCCAGGCCTCCTGGTGCCTCCTCTCCACGCTGAGCTGGTCCCTGCCCCCCCCCCCCCCCCCCCTGTCTCCAGGCAGAGCCCACCAGGCCTGGGTGGTCAGCAGCCCTGTGCCGTGGAGCCAGGCGGAGATCTGGCCAGGTCCCTGGGCTGCCTCCCCATGTGGGCGGAGTCCCAGGGAAGCCAGGCCACAGCAGGGTCCACAGGGCACCCCTCCCCAGAGCGGGGCCCAGGCAAGGCTGAACCAAGCCGGAAGATCCAACTAAGTCCTGAGCGAGCCACTCCCTCCGGGTGGGGGATTCCAGCAGAAAGACAGGAAGCTGGGCATCTCCATTTCTGCTCCTTGAGCCCCCAACCCAGGCAGGGCCCGGAGGCTGTCCCTCCCACTGACTCGGGAAGCCTGGCGTCTCCTTTGTGCCGTCCCATCGCCAGGCGACAGCGGGTCGGGAGGCAGGCCAGGCTGGGGCGCCTGTGGGGAGTCTGTCCCCTGGAGCCTCCTCCGTGCCTGGCCGCGGCTGTCACTGGCCCAGCATATACGCCTTCTTACAGGCCACCGCGGAGACCAGGGCGGCGCCGCGGCCGCTGCCGTCCTCCGACTGGATGAAGGTGATCTCGCAGCTGGGGGTCAGCCGGCGCACGCTGGCGTGGAACCGCTCCTTGAAGCTGCGCGGGGGAGGCCGGCTGAGGGCCCGCCTCCTGAGCTCCCCCCACCCCCGCGGCCTGCCCTGCCCCCTCCAGGGACCTGCCCTGCGTGCGCCCAGGGGCCCCTCCCCTGCCTGGGACCTGCGGGGAGGATGAGGTAGGAACCCTGGGACCCATGAGCAGCAAGAGAGCTGGGACAATGTCCGCCCCGCCTCGTGTTTCCTGGGTGGAGACGGGCGGGGGTCTGCGCGGAGGACGCGCACCACGCGGGGCGGGGCCAGGGGGCGCCGGCTCACCTGGGGTGCAGCTTGTACACGGAGCCGTCCACGCCCACGGTGATGCGCATCACGTCCTCGCTGCGGCTCTCGCGCATGCGGTTGATGACCGCGGCCAGCCCCGCGGAGCACATGTGCGCGGCGCGCGTGGACACGCTCTCGCAGGCGCGGCGCACGAGGTCGCAGTCGGCGGCCGAGGGCCGCAGCCCCAGGGTGCGCAGGATGTTGTAGATCTGCTTGCGGTCGCCCGAGTCGCTGCGGGGCGGGAGGGGCGGGGAGGGCGTCGCTGGAGGGCCCGCGGACCCAGCCAGCCTGTCACCCACCGGCGGCTCCCCCCGCCCTTTCCCCGCCCGTCCAGGCAGAGCGCTTGGGGCGCGGGGCCAGGGCCAGGAAAGGCTCGAGTCCGCCAGCGACGGGCAGTGACCGGGTCGTGACTCCTCCTGAAGCCCAGGGCCTCCGTGCTGGCGTGGGCGGCACCGCCGCGCCTGCCGCTGTCGCGTGGATGGAGTGACAGGAGCCACGGAGGGGACACGCCTTGGTGCGGCCCTGGGGACCGAGGCCACCCGCCCCGTGGACCCTCCCCCCGCGCACCTCTCCACCTGAGACACGAAGCGCGTCTCGAAGGCGCCGCGCGTGCGCAGCTGCTCCGAGGCCTCCCCGCGGAAGAGCAGGTCCTCGTCCACCAGCCTCAGCAGCACGAGCCGCACCAGCTCGCCCATGTACTTGCCGCCGATCAGCTTCTCGTACCTGTCGGAGGGCGGGCGGCGGGCGGTGGGCGGGAGCCGGGCACCAGCGCCCCCTCGCGGCCACGCGCCGCCGCCACACCTTCTCCAAACCCGGCTCCTGCTCGTGCGCTCGGCTAACGGGGACCCGGGGCCAGCCCCTCCGAGAGCGGCCTGGAACGGACCCGCGCTGGGTCCACGCGGCCTCCCACGGGCGACGGGGTGCTCTCGCACCTCCCGGGCATAGTTGGGAAATGAAGGCCCGGGCGCTGGGACCGCTCTGGGGCGCGCCCAGGGCATGCGCGGCGCCGGCACGGCGTCTCCGCCGTGAGCCTCCGTGTTTCCTCCGGAGGCGCCCTGACTATCAGCCGCAGCAGTGTCTGCGGCCAGAGACCACGCCAACGCGGGAACCAGCAGGGCCTGGCCGCAGCGGGGTCCTAAGGTACCAAGATTCAGGGCCAGCTGTGCCCTGCGCACCGGCGGCAAACGCCACAAAACGCTGCATCGTGAAGCCGCTAACGTGGCGGGGGCGTCTCAGACCTCCCTACGCCTGTCGGGACGGAGCGGGGCCCCGGCGTATCTGCCCGCAGCCCCCCTTTCTCAGGTCTACACGCTCACGGGCCGGTTCACAGCGCGGCCCGACAGCGTGCGCGCTGGAGGAGCTGTCAGTCTGCGCCTCCCAGACCCGCTTAGAAACCAGCCCGTGATCTGCGTGGCCCCCCCGCGCCCGCGGGCGGTCTCACAGCTGCTGGCCCGGGTTCAGCGAGCTCTCGTCCACCGCGCGGTCGTACTCCAGCAGGAACTCGTCCAGCTCGCCCGCGTCCCCGAAGGCGCCCCACTCGGTGTTGACGCACATGCGGCCCTCTTCCCCCTCCACCAGCTCCACGTTGTGCATCTCCTCCATGTAGCAGGCGTTGCAGCCCGTGCCTGGGGGGGCGGCAGCGTCGGACCCACGGGACCCGGCAGGGGCTGCGCTTCCCCAGCTGCCTCTCCTACACGTCCCACCCCTCCCCTCCCCTCACTCCTCCCCATGCTCACCCCACCCCCTCTCCTGGATGCCCCAGCCCGCAGGAAGCCCAGGGCAGCCTTCCCTGCCCCCACCGCTCCCAGGCACACAGCACCTGTCCGCTGTATGGCCGCAGGTGGATGGACCCACCCCTCTGGGCTGTCCCTCTTCCCCACCAGGGAAGGGGAACACCTCCTCCTCCCCTCATCTGGCTGGTTGGGAGGATTGAGAGAAACGTGTCAAATGTGCACAGTAGAGATGGGTGCTGGATGTTACGGTTTTGTCTATGCTCCACCCTTGTTTCCTGGCTTTTTCCATTCATACAGTTAAGCTGCTCTGTCTTGGGCTGTTTGGGGGGGGCGGGGGCGCCCTGAGGTAAGACACAGTGTGGGACCGGCTAGGGCAGGCTGGCCCTGGGTACGGTCAGACCTTCCAGGAAGAGATGACACCACTTTGCTTATTCTCTTCCACTTGGACAAATCTGTCTCATTTGGTCAATTTACCAGATAAAGTTTTTAATTAAATCTGATGGGCCAGGTGCAGGTGCGGCAGGCGTGCCATCTGATGCAGTGATGCAGTGTGACTGCTTCCCATCAGGACAGAGCTTGCATGGGGGCATCCCTGCCCTCCCCAAGCCTGCCCCGGGTGCTCAGGCCCCGCGCTGACTGTGGCCCTCACTCCTCAGGGCCCGAGGCCGAGGCCCCTGGACAGGGCAGGGCACGAGTCCTTACCCACAATCATGCCAACCTCACACTGGCGGTCTTCGTAGTAGCAGGAGATCATTGTGGCCACAGTGTCGTTCACCATCGCCACCACGTCCATCTCAAAGTCCTGCCAAGAGCACAGAAGGGGTGGGGCTGGGGCTGGGGGTCTCCGTTTAACCTGTCCTGGGCTGGCCCACCAAGGAGGGAGCGGAGACTCGCCCCGAGGGGACCCAGAAGGCCCTCGCTGACATGCTCGCCTGAGGGGGGAGGGGCCCGGGAACAGGTGCCTCCTCACCCCTCTCCGCTTGATGGCGTCTCGCAGGAGCCCCACAATGTTGTTCCCTTCTGCTCCCGAGGCCTTGAAGCCCTTGGTCCAGTTGAGCAGGATGCCCTGTGGGAGGAGGAGGACCTCGGTGGCCGCTGAGGAGGGCCGGGGCAGGTGTGAAGCGGGGAGCTCCCTGGGACCCCAGACCCCACTTAGCGGGTGAGCAGACTGAGGCTCCCATAGTTTTGAGAGGTTTGATGGCTACACAACTGCTCACGGTTCTGCAGAGCGGGTCCCAGCAATGTGAGGGTGTTTGTGTAGTAAAGCCAGAGACGCCCCCCAGAGTGAGGGTGTGCATCTGGAGTGGAGCAGCCTGTGTGTGAGCAGGGTTCCTCCCTCCTGTGGCGCACCCACTGCAGACGAGCCACTGCGCTCAGTGCGCCCCGGGGGCTGGAAAACCTGCGCATGATGTCGCTCCTGCTGCTGCTGTGTGTGAGGTTTCATGTCACAGACGTGTGTGCTTGATGCATGCAAATACATGTAAAGGTAAGGTGTGCACACAACGGATGTGCTTGTGTTTGCATGTCTAATTGGCATGTGTGTCATTGCCAAGCCTAAGGCAGGGTTCGGCCTCCGCCCGCACACCTCAGCCCCAGCACAGGGGTCACCAGTGATGACACCGGCTGCCGGGGAGCCCAGCGCTGCCACTTCCCACCGGGCCGGCCACTGACCTCGGTTCCCTACTCGTTAGTGGGGGTGTGAACAGGGTGCTGTTATGGGGAGATCAAGGCAAACAGTGAAACCAGCCAACGTTCGTTCCCACAGTGTCATGGATGCGGGTGACAGGCAGTTTCCCAACAAGGGAGTTGTGTTTGAAGGCTGCACGGGCGCCTTTCTCCCGGGTGCATGTCCGTCCCTCCCTCGTCTGTCTGTCTGTCTGTTGTCCCCTTGCCCAGCCCTTGGGCCCTACCTTGTCGATGTCTTCATGCCTCACGGGAAAGGAGAAGGTGAAGCCCAAGGGCAGCTTCCTGTGCTTCATCTGGTGCTTGTCCAGGAAGTCGGAGATGCACTCGGAGATGTAGTCGAAGAGCTGGAAGCGCGTGGCCACAGTGGTGGGCGGCCACGGCCCCGTCCCCTCCACCCAGAGCCTGCTCTGTGCCCCCAGCCCCCAGGGAAGCCAGCTCCACTGTGCGCAGTCCCTCCACTTATTGGGCCCTGAGCGTCCCCTAGAGCCCTGCCCACGGCAGCCCCAGGACAGGGTGGCTCAGTCATAGAAGACTACGACTTCTGTTTCCTCCAGGTGTCCTGGCCACCCCCCTGAAGCTGTGGAGGACTGGCCCCCGCAGGTGGACAGGTGGGCCCTCACCCAGGTGGGGAGGTGCCCCTCCAGGACTAGAGCCTGAGGCCCCTCTCACCATCTCCGCGGTGCCCGTCATGGCGTCCTCGGGGATGCAGTACATCTGGTGCTTGGTCTTCACGCTCCAGTGGCCGGCCTCCCCCTCCCCCACCTTCACCAGCATCACCCGGAAGTTGGTGCCGCCCAGGTCCAGCGAGAGGAAGTCCCCAACTTCTGCAGCCACAGGGAGAGGAGGAGGGAAGGCAGGAGGCCCAGGAGTACTGGACAAGGGGCTGCAATGCCAGACGTCTGGGGACACCACTTTCAACAGGGGGGAGGGGGGTCAAAGGTGAACTGGGAAGTCCATGAGAACCCCCAGCTTTGAACTGAAGTCACCCCCAGTCTAGAGCTCAACTGAAAAACTAGTGAAATGGCCCAGACTCAGGACTGGGGGCGGGGAGGGGGGCAAGTGACCACAGGGAGTACTTCCCCAATGAGATGGGAAGAGCCAGGTCCTGAGGCCACGGTGAGCCTGCAAACCCAGGTGAGGGTCGTCCTGTCTGGGGCCCAGCCTCCGGGGGCCTGATTCCAGGCTGCTGGGGCCAGAGCTCTTGGAGGGGCCTGGGGACAGCTGCCCCGCGGGGCGGCCCCATCCTTGCCCTGCAGTACCTGAGCCTTCGGGGGTGGAGCGTACGTAGGTGGGCAGCATCTTCACGCTGGCCTCCTGGTGAGTCTCCAGCCTCAGGCCACGGTCCATCTCCTTCTGCATCCGCCTCATCACCTTCTTCAGGTCCTCCTCCTGCAGTCGGAACTCCGCCAGGATCTGCTCTGCCTGCACAGGGGAGGGGAAGGCTGGGTACTGGGCACTCCCCACTCACACAAGGGTCTCCTTTGCTCTGGCCCTGGTCCGGGGTGATGACTCAAATCACCACAGTTAAAAACAGCTTAGCAATTAGAGCCTCACGGATGGGCTGGGGTCCAGGGTGAGGGCAGAGGGCAGATGCGGGAGGTGAGGCGGGGAGAAGGCGCTAAGCAGGAGGGCGGGTGAGGCCAGGACAGCCTGTCTGAAGGGCAAGGGGCAGTGGCATTACTGGGTGAGGGACGCAGTCACTCCCGCTCCAGGGCTGACACTAAGGGTGTGAAGGGACGGTGTGCACACTGGCCAGAAGGACAGTCAGGGCAGCTGAAAGCACTGCTGTCCAAAGCGTGGCAGGCTCTGTGGCCATGGGGGTCCCTGTGCACTGACAGGAGCCAGGCCTGTGCACCAGTGGCACCTTCCCTGCGAGTGCGATGGCCTGGAGGGGTCTCCTCCTGAACCTCCTGGGGTGTGGCCAGCCCCTCCTGAACCAGCTGCCCGTGCCCATGTGCCCCCAGTGACTGGACCTTGCTCTGCTCCGCGTGTGGGTGGTTGGCTCCCGCCCACCTTGCACAATAGTGCACCTTCCTGAGAGGAGGCCGCTTGGATTCACTGGCTGTTTGGACCCAAAGGAAAGGAGATACTTGATAAAAGCTGTGGGTCTCCTCCACGCAGGCGCTGGGAAGCCAGCCCAGGTAGGGAGTAGCATATGGAAGGAAGGCAGGCCCTCCCCAGGCCCAGGGACCAGCCTGTGATTGGGCTCAGCCAGTGGCGGGTGAAGGAAGCCTGGTTCAGCAGGAGAAGGAAGGTCAGTGCCCTCTGAGGCTGTGAATGCAGCTGTCCCACGACCATGAGGAGCCCGGCGGAAGGGAAAGCTGCTAGCAAACCACAGATGGGGGAGAAGAGCAGACACCCACCCCCAGGTGTGGCTATGGGAGGGTTTCCGGCTTCCTGCGGCCTGGGCACTCCTGGTGGATGCATGTCCTAACACAGGAGCTGTGCCGCCTATCAGGACCACAGGACTTCACATGGAGACCCAGGGACGGTCAGAGGGCGGCTGACAAAGCACACGAGCAAACACGCAGATTCGAGCACCAGTGTTTGCTGAGTGGGCGCAGCCCGTGGCTCCTGGCACTCAGGAGGCCAGTGTCCTCAGCCCAAGCCGACCACTCTGCCTCCTCTGTCTTTTTGGTGTGGTTGTTGATCCTCACCCGAGGATATTTTTTCCGTTGATTTTTAGAGAATGGAAGGGAGGGAGACAGACAAACATTGGTGTAAGAGAGACACATTGATTGGTTGCCTCCCGCATGCACCCCAACTGGCACTGGGGAGGTATATGCCCTTGATGGGAATTGAACCCTTGACCCTTCGGTCCACATGCCGACACTCTAACCACGGAGCACCGGCCAGGGCTCCTCTGTCTATCATGCTCTCATAGGGACAATACCCCAGACCCTGAGCTGGGTGCTCCATACAAACTCATACCTGCCTGTGGCCCAGCATGTGGGAGGCCCGGCCTCTGCCCGCCTCCTAAACCAGGAAAGGCTCAAGAAGCCATGCACCTGCCCCAGGACAGAACTATTCCCAGGGACCAACTATAAGCCACTCACGGGCTCTACGCCATGTGACCCAGGTACTGGGAGGCCCTGCCCACAGGCCCCTCTGACCTGAAGCCTGCCCTGACTCAAGGCTCCACTTTCTCCCGGCTCACACACACCTGCTGGGCCACCAGGTGAGGAGGAAGTAGTTGCACTTTGCAGACCCACCTCCCATGCCCCTGAATTGGTGAAGCCCTTAAGTGCATCCCAATTAACCCTGGAAGGATGCCAACAGTGACTAATGGAGAGGGTGCTAGGCTAGTTCGGGGTGTGGGTCACTCATTGACTTAACGTCTGAGTCCCTGAGTTGTGCTCCATCTGCGGGTACAAAAGTGACTGGGCTTTAGTCCCCAAGGAGCTTACAATCCTGGAGGAGAGAGCAGACAGCTGTACAGATGGACACCGGACGCTTGCATCCTTGGGGAGCTCAGAAGAGACCAGTGGGGTCACAGAGGCCGAGGACAGGGTCCTCAAGATCCTTCCTGCTGTCCTGGTGCCGAGGGGTGGCCCAGGAAGAGGGACCTTCCCAGAGGGACCGCAGGACAGTGCCAGAGCATTGGCAGAAGTGCAGGGGTTTAGAGTGGCCTGAACTGGATGCAGGCAGAGGGGCTGTGGTCAGCAGTGTTTGGCTGAAGAGGGCATCTGGCTTGGAGTGCAGACCCTTCCAGATGAGTAACCATGACAACACCAAATACACGAAGTGTGGCTCCCAGCCAGAGCAGGGCTCCCAGGAGCATGCACCCCCTCAAAGGGGCGCAGCAAAATAAATGGGCGTTGGTGAGCAAAGCAGGCTCCCAAGAGGCCAAACCCAACACAACAGAGATAGAGTGCACCCACAAAGACTAGGATAAAAGAATCCTATACAATAGAGGGAATATGCAAATTGACCGTCACTCTGTCACAAAGATGGCTGCGCCCTCGGGGGGGGGGGCATTCCATAACACAAGATGGCTGCTCCCACAGCAGAGGCCAAGCCTTAACGAGCCTTAACAAGCAATTAGCAGGGATCTGAGGCCACACCCCCTGCCTAGCAGGCTTGACAAGGGTAGGACTGGCCGGGTCTGGATCTAGCCCAGCCGTGGGCAAACTATGGCCCGTGGGCTGGATCCGGCCCATTTGAAATGAATAAAACTAAAAAACAAAAAAGACTGTACCCTTTTATGTAATGATGTTTACTTTTAATTTATATTAGTTCACACAAACACTCCATCCATGCTTTTGTTCTGGCCCTTTGGTCCAGTTTAAGAACCCATTGTGGGTCAAAAAGTTTGCCCACCCCTGATCTAGCCCAATGTTGGGGGGCTGGCTGGGTCTGGGCGCACGTGGGTGGGTGGGGACTTGACTCTGGGTGCCGTGGTGTGGTGTGCCCCAGACTCTGACAGGAGGAAGATTTTCATATACATTTTACAAATTTTCTTTCATCTCTGACACTTCTATTATAGAGAAAGGGCAAATAGCAATATTAAAATATTTCCTCTAATTCCCTTTTAATGTGCATGAATTTTGTGCACCGGGCCTCTAGTCAAGAATGATAAAAGCAGAAACAAATCACACAGAAAACACAAGTGAAACAACAGTTAACTCAATGAACAAATCCCACACCCAGTTCTTTAAAAGACCAATAAAAGAGCAAACACATGGGCCGACCAAGGATGAAAGACAGCAACAAGCAAAAGGCACAGATATTCACAGATGAAGTGTGACCAGTCTGAGAGACCATTTCCTTTCCTCTGGCCCCAGCCCCAGCCTGCGCCCACTGAGAGCTGGAGAGGAAGACACGGCAGGGACACCAACTAGGGCACCACCGACAGCCAAGGCCAAGAGGCTGGCAGAGGGCAGCTAAGGGCCCTGGCCTGGGGTAGCCAGAGTGGCAGCAGATGTCGTGTTTCCTGAGCCTCCAGCTACAGGCTGTTGGCACTCGGATCCCACTGTGCCCAGGAGTTCGGAGACAGGATGGATGTGGAGAGGTAAGACGCATTTACAACGCAAGTCCCAGGCGGTGGGGGCTGGGGTCTCGAGGGACCCCAGGGACGAGTCTCCCTGCCAATACCTTTCCATCCTGAGGCTCTAGTGGTGGCTCATGAGTGCCCTTCACTCTGCTGTGGGCCTGGCCTGGCCTTGGCAGGGAGCCGGGGTGGGGGTGGGGGCTGGGGCACAGGAGGGGCGGGGCCAGCACTTCACATGGCTGGGCACCTGCTGAGTGTACCATGAGCTTCCTTCCCTGTGGGCAGAAGCATGGGCTTGGTTACTGGAAAACTAGAGGTCTGACCCCAATATTCGTTCTCTCTGTTATAGTTTGTAAGTATTTAATGGGCGATACATTGGCCAGAAGTTGAGTACGACATTGTGTGTTTAGGAAACACCCACCACTGCTTTGCAACCAACTGAAATCTCTGCCTGCCCATCAGTGGGCTTCCGGGGGCTGTCTTTTTAATCCTCACCCACGGTCATGGTTATTGATGAGAGAGAGAGAGAGAGAGAGAGAGAGAGAGAGAGAGAGAGAGAGAGAGAGAAAGAAACACCCATCAGTTGCCTCCTGTACGTGCCCCAGCTGGGGATGGAACCCAGCCTGGGTGTGTGTCCTGACTGGAATGAATCCCGAAACCTTTTGCTGTACCAGGAAACGTTCCCAATGGAGCCCCCGGCCAGGGCTGGGCTATTCTAACAGCCAGCTGTCAGTGATTCTCATGGCCTTGTTCTTTACCACTTTATGCATTCACGTTTCTCAGAGTTTGTTCAGGGAACACCACGCCTGCTGGTGAGCCTGGGGGGCTGCAGGGACGGAGAGAAGGGGGTGCTCCCCAGGCATGCCTGACCCATGTGCCCAGAAAGGGGCCTGGGGTCCACCAGCTGGGACGGCGCTGCTCCAGGCTCTGCTCTGGCCAAATCCAGGAGCCCGTGGGTGAGGCCGCAGGGCACACCTTGGGAAAACGTCATGGGCAGGGAGGGGCCAGCCGAGGGGGGGTTCTCTGTGTTCTGGAAGGGAGTGTGTCACGGTGGCGTGAAATCCGCTCCCCAATCTCTGCTGCAGGGCTTTCCAGCACTTCGTTCACCGGGCAGCCTTCTGCAGCAGGAGCCCGTGCACCCTCTTCTCTTTCCCCGCCGCCGCCGACAGGCACACTGGGGGGTCTCACCCACACAGCAGCCGGGGGCCTTTTCAGAGGGGACACTGAGGCCTGGAGGGACTTTGCTTCCAAAGGCTACTGCGCTGGGAACGGAAGAGCCGCCCAGCGTGGGTGCAGGTGCTAGATGTGGAGGCGGGAGCCTTCTCTCCCCTGGGCCGGGTCCGTTCTGCTCTCTGGGGCGCGCTCAGAGGGGCTTCTTTATCTTCTGCCACCCCTTTCCTCCCAGGGGCAGGGGGTGGGGCAGCTGGACCCACCCAGGTCTGTCACCACTGCCGGCTGGATGGTCAGAGGCTGCGGCCTCTGCAGGGGGGCCAGCTCAGCAGGGAGGGGGGGGGTAGATGGGCTTGTGCAGAGCTGGCTGACCTGCTCCTGCCCACGGGGAGCTTGTCCCCCACACAGGGTTTTCTCACACTCCCTCGGAGCTGGCCCGTCCCAGCACACCTGCTGGCCTTTCCTGCAGAGGCAGGAAGCAGGGCAAGCACAGGGCTTCGCCCCATTGCTGAGCCTCCTTCTTCCTGGGGGCAAAGTGCCAGGCAGCCTGAGGGCCAGAACGGAGGGTGGTCAGCTCCTTCCAGGCTACAGACCGAATTGTGTGCCCAAATCCACACTGAGGCCTTAACCCCAATGTGATGGTATTTGCAGGTGGGGCTTTGGGAGGGGATCAGGGTTAGAAGAGGTCATGAGGGTGGGGCCCTGAGAGGAGATTAGTGTCCTATGAGAAGACGGAGAGCTGGCGCCCCTCATTCCCCTCACTGCACCGCCCCCCACCCCCATGAGGACACAGTTGGGAGTTGGCATCTGCAAGCCCGGAAGAGGCCACACCAGGACTGGCCACTCTGGCCCTGACCTCGGACTCTAGTCTCCAGAGCTGTTACTTATGCTGCTGCGTCCACAGAATTTGTTATGGTGCCGGAGCCAACTAACACACGGCCAACTGGACATGCTTTGAGCCCCTGTGTCTCCCAGGCTCCAGGTACTCGTGGGGAGGGTTGGACCAGCAGGAGGGTCCAGTGAGGAGTGGGGGAGTCCAGACCAGGATCGCAAGGGGTCCCCAGGGCCCAGTTTTAGGACAGCATCAGTGGGCGCAGACCTGCCCCCAAGGAGTTCTAGAAACTGTTTGGAGCTGACATCTATGTGGTCAAGCCCTGTGGCCACACAGCTCTGTAGGTTATAGAAGGATGACCACAGGTAAGGCCTGGAGGTCAGTACAGGTGAGAAGGACAACAGAAGCGGACGAGAAACCAGCAGCACTTAGGTTCCCTTCAAAGCACAATTTTTTGCATTAAAATAGTATTTATCTTGATGATGGACGCTTTTGTTGCCTCACTGACGCACGTGCCTCACTCTGCTCAGCCGGGACCAGGGTGTCGGTGACCCTTGGCGGCTGCAGGCAGCCTGGCTCCTGGCTAGGACCTGCACCCCTCCCTCGGGAGCAGAGACGGTCTGCCCAGTGGAGCCCCGCGTCCCCTGGACACACAGGAAGGGACAGGGGCCAGCCCGCATCTGGGAATGGGTTCCCCATGGTAGCCACAGCCCCTCACACTCTTGCCACGCCATCTCCCTGCTCGTCACAAAGACACCCTGCACCCCGTTCCTCCTCAGGGGGCCACTGGGCTGTCTCCAAACCCTGCCAGCATGGGGACCGCGGCAGGGCCTGCCCGCCTGGCTTCCTGCTGGGGCGCCTGCCTGGGCTGGCAGTTTTCTCCTGACATCATCAGCTCTGCCAGCAGCACAAGCAGCGCCGTTTGTGCTGACCTTGTTGTTTCAGAGGAGGAGGAGGCGTGTGAGGTGAGAATCATGTCGCAGGGAAGGACCAGGCCTCTCCGGGGCCCCCACTGCACCCCAGCCGGCGGCTCGCCCTGGGGCCTGCCCTTCTCCTTGCTCACTACTTGGTCTGGATTTCTCTCTGTTTTGGAAAAAGTAACTGATCTCTGCTCCTCCCAGGAGGGAACGGCCCTCGGGCTCCCCACGAAGAGATTCCTTCGAGGACGAGGACGTGTGGGCTCCTGAGGCCTGTATCGTGTCTGCTGAGCACTGTCTCAGGACAGGGCTGCTGGTCTTCCACTAAGACCCCAGGCTCTAAACTCCCCAGACCCCAAACCAACATCAGCCGCTTCCCGGACCTCTGGCCGCCTACCTTCCAGGCCTCGGGCTGGAGTCTGGAGCAGGGCGGGGACTGGTCTGCTGGGAGGAAGGGTCTTTCTGCCCAACACAGTGGTGCCCAGGACTCCCTCCCAGCAGGGCTTCCCTACGGAGCCTGAGCATCAGTCAGCTTCTGAGCGGCAGGCGCGTGTCCGAGCTAAACCCACCCCTGGGTGCGGGGACCTGGGACAGAGGCTTCCAGAGCCAGAGGAGGCACAGCTACCTTTTCCTTCTTGGCGGTCTCCATCCCGGCACCGTCATCCGGCATCCGCACCGCAGCCCGCTCCTGGGGGCTGGGACCCCTCCGCTTTCCCAACAGGTTTCGGAGCAGGATTGTCCGAGGCTTCTCCCAACCAGGGGTTGGCTGGCCTGGGCGCCTGGGCCACTATGGTCCCCCTCCGGCTGGGTTCTGGCTGGAGCTTCAGTCACAGAGTTTCCTCCTTTTCATCGTTCCCAGCAAGCCCACCAGCCTCGTCTTCAGGGCTACACCCGGGACCCTTCCCCACAGAGGCCTGGTCAGGCCGGGTGTGGCCGGGGCAGGGCCATCGCTGGGCGCCGCTCAGCTCGCAGGCTGTGCTGAGCTGTGCTGCGGCTCGGCCTCCAACAGACTCAGCAGAAAAGCTGCTGTCCCCTCGGTGCTGGGGACAGCATTTGAGCAATTAGGCTGAAGGTGACTGTTTCTCTCACACCCTAACCTGCTTCCCGGAGCTCAGCTGCCACCCAACACTTCCCGCGGAGACCAGGTGTGCGGTGAATTCTCCTGGGGGGGTGGGGGTGGGGGCTCCTGCTGGGGGGGGGGGAGGCAGCGCTGCCATGGCAACCAGGAGCAGGGCCTCCGCAGGGCTGGCGGCTGGTCATTAGAGCTGCCATGCAGAAAACGGGCTGAAGGCAAAAGGCCTCCATCCCCATCACCATAGCAACAGCCCAACGGCCTTGTCACCAGACTTGGCCACCTGTTCAGCTCCCCAGGCCGGGCCACACCCTAATGAGCAGGGGCCCTGAGAGTCGGGAACCAGAGGAGAGGGAGTCGGCAGCCCGGCCCCGCGCGGCCACCCGTGCCCAGAGCGCCCGCGAGCTCCGCAGCTGCCTTCGTGGCTAGTCTTGTAGCCTCAGCCTCGCCCAGGGGGGACCTGAGCGGCTTGGCAGGTGGTGGAGCTCCGCTAGGTGCAGAGGAGCGTGTCCAGCCAGCGCACAGGAGCCGGACTCCCGGGACCCGGCACGCAGACGTCGGCGCCCCTTCCCCGCAGCCTGCGGCCCGGGACCTGCGGACTCGGGGACCAGGCGTGAAGCTACACGGAATTCCGGGTCCCCTCCGTCCCGACGCTTCCCCCCGGGGGTGGGCGTGTGTCCTGACTACGAGCGCCATTTGCCACCAAGGGCGCGAGGGGACTGCCGCCCGCCCTCCGCGGACCGAGCAGCATCTCCACCGCGCAGCCAGGAGGCGGCCTGGGACTGGACGATCCGGGGGCTCGGGGCGGCTCGGGGGGGAGGGGTGTTGGGGGGGGACCCGGGGGACGCGGGGGACGCGGGACCGCCCTGCGGGGCGGGGCCGGGAACACGCGCGTGCGCACGCGCGCACACCCCGCCCCGCGCCTGCGTGTTTCCGGCCAGACTCACGCCGCAGGCCTCGGGCGGAGGCCCTGACCGGAACCGGAAGTGGGCCCCGAGCCGGGAGGAGGAAGCGGCGTCGGACCCGTCAGCAGCCGGCGGTCTCGAGGGGCGGCGGCCGCGCTGCTCGCTGCTCGCCGGTCGGGCGGGCGGGCGCCCCGGCGGCGCCATGAAGCTGTTCAGCCTGAGCGTCCTCTACAAAGGCGACCCCAAGGCGGTGCTGCTCAGCGCCGCCTACGACGTGTCGTCCTTCAGCTTCTTCCAGAGGACCAGGTGGGCGGGCCGGGCCGGGCCGGGCCGACGCGGGGCGGGCGGGGGGCGCCGGGCTGGGAGGCGGGCGTGGCCTGCCGGGCCGCGGGCCGAGAGGGCCCGTTCTGGAGACGCTCCCGGACTCCGCTTTTCACGCTTCCGCCCGAAAAGAACGACACGCGGCCTGGAAACGCAGACGCCCCGGTCACGGCTGGACGTCTGGACCAGTCGGCCGAGGCGCGGAGCCTGCATTTTAGCCCCAGTGACTCTCAGGGTTCCGGTCCAGGCCCCGGGCTGCCGGCCCTCGGCCACGTCCCGGGAGCCCGTGCGTCCCCCCAGCGCAGCGGGAGCGGTGCTGGCGGACTCTCCCTCCGGGATGAGGTCGCTGAGGCCCCGCGAAGGCGGCCGGCGGGACTCGGCCCGGCACCAAGGGTTCTCCACGGGGACCCGGCAGGACGCAGGCGGCTGTGGGCTTTGAGGGCGTCCGGGCGCTTTATTGCAACAAAGTGGGTGTTGGAAGGAGGACGGACTTCCAGCCCTTCCGTGGGAGGGCGGACCCCGGCGGCCGGAGGGGGACCCAGAGCCTGTGTGGTCGGAGCCAGGCCCGTGCCGGCTGCCCGCGGGAGGCCGCCCGTGCTTCCAGGAGCGTGTGTTCCTGCTGAGAGCGGCTGGCGGGATCGGAAACAGTTTCTGTTACTTTGTTGACTTGTGTTTTCTTTGGGGTCCGCCTTGTGGGCGCGGCTCTGTGCCCCTGGCCTCCGTCCTGTGCTCCCTGTGCCTGTGCCAGCCCGGCTCACTCGATGCTTTTCCTCCCTCCCTGGGGGCGAACGCTGAAGGTGCCCGGGGCTCCCCGTAGGACCGACCCCTCAGGAGCTTCGGATGCCCGTACCCATCCCAGGTGGCTGACCCACAGCAGGACTGTCCGCAGGGGCGTTTCCCGGGCAGCACGCACTCCAGCTGGGCTCTTGGTCTTTCTCCTGAGGCCCCTCACGGCGTCCTTCCCATCTCACGGTGACCAGACCCCAAGCCTGAAACCTTCTAATAGTTTCCCAGCTTTTCTTAAAAATCCTCACCCGAGGATACTTTTCCATTGATTTCTAGAGACAGTGGAAGCGGGGTTAGGCAGTGGTTCTCAACCTGCTGGCCCTTTAAATACAGTTCCTCCTGTGGCCCAACCATAACATTATTTTAGTTGCTACGTCATAAGTGTCATGTGGCTACTGTTATGAATCGTCATGTGAATATCTGATCTGCAGGATGGTCTGAGGCGACCCCTGTGAAAGGGTCGTTCGACCGCCAAAGGGGTCGCGACACACAGGTTGAGAACCGCTGGGTTAGAGAGAGAGTCACATGGATTGGTTGCCTCCCACACGAGCCCCTACGGGGCTGGGGACCCTGCAGCCGAGGTATGCGTGCCCTTGACCAGGAATCAAACCTGAGACCCTTTGGTCTGCAGGCCAACGCTCTAACCCAGTGATGGCGAACCTTTTGAGCTCGGCGTGTCAGCATTTTGAAAAACCCTAACTTAAGTCTGGTGCCGTGTCACATATAGACATTTTTTGATATTTGCAACCATAGTAAAGCAAAGACTTATATTTTTGGTATTTATTTTATATATTTAAATGCCATTTAACAAAGAAGAATCAACCAAAAAAATGAATGAGTTCGTGTGTCATAGGTTCGCCATCACTGCTCTAACCGCTGAGCACCAGCCAGGGCCATTTCCCAGCTTGTCTGGCCCTCGTATGCAGGCGTTCACAATGAATGCAGTTCTGCCTTATCTAAGTACAGTCTTGCTCTAAGCTCTGTCTGTGGTTTTACCGCAAGGATTTCTTATTTGGAGACTCCGTCTGCGGATTGCAGTCGTGCCACCTGACAACAGGGATAGGTTCTGAGAAACGGTCCTCACGTGGTGTTGTCGCGCGAACGTCCAGGGCGCGCTGACACCTGGGCGGTGCAGCCCACTGCTCACCGAGGCTGCATGGCACAGCCTGTCACTGTGCAGAGTACGCAGGCAGCTGTAACAGTGGTGTTTGTGCACCTAAGCAGCTCAGTATGAAAAGGGAAAACAGTGTCAGAGGTAAAGCGCCCTGTGCAGGGCTCTCTCCTGGAGTGCAGCCGCAGGACTGGACGTTGCTCTGGGTGTGGTGGGAGCGAGTGGTGAGTGAGGTGAAGGCCAAGGACATGGCGGGCATGGCTGTGGACTTTATACCCTGGACACCAAGGCTACGTTAATTTATTTGTTTTTCTTCAGTGATACATTAACCTTAGCTTACTATTATGTTTTTACTTTATAAACTTAAAATTTTTTTTTAAGCCTCAGCCGAGGATAGTTGTCCATTGATTTTCAGAGAGAGTGTGGAGAGGGAGAGACAGAGAGAACATCAATGATGAGAGAGAATCATCTATCTGCTACCTCCTGCACACTCCCTACTGGGGATCAAGCCTGCCACCCAAGCATGTGTCCTGAGTGGGAATTGAACCATCACCTCCTGGTGGTCGACGCTCAGCTACCGAACCACGCCAGCCAGGCTGTTTCCATACTTTTTAAGGAGCTTGTTGAGCCCAACAAATGCTTCTGCTAAGCCCTTCCCTGTGAATTTTCCTGGAGGTTCTTATGGGACCACTGTTGCATCTGCAGTCTGTCGTTGGCCAGAATCTCATTGTGTGGCCCCCAACAAGCTCCCCCTCCCTCTAAGCCTTTGTCCCAGCCATTTTCCATTTCCACGTCCCGGCCAAGCTGCTGTCCTCCATTCCTTCCAGGGCGCACGCCATGGCCGTAACTGGCTGTGCACCTGCCAAACAGTTCTGGCCGCTTGGGTTTTTCCAGAACAGGCTCTGTCTGTCCTCTTCTTGGAAGTGAGTGGGGCCTGGAGAGCAGGCGCTGGCTTCTGCTTAGCTCCCGCGTCCCAGATCAGCTCTGACCAGGCTGTGAAATGGACAGCAGCCCACAAGTCTGGACGAGGGTTGTTGGGGTGAGCTGGGTAGTGAACAGAGGTGGTTTGAGTGGTTGAGACGATTTGTGACTCTCTGGACCTGTTCGTTTACAGGGAGTTTATCATTTGTCTGCGATTGAGGGGCAGGAAGGAAACCAAGCAGCAATGTCTCCTTGCAGATAAGCCCAGGTTGCTCTCCCTTGTGTTGGGACAGGTGACGGGAGGAGGTAATGTGTGTTGTTTCTTAGTGTTCAGGAGTTCATGACCTTCACCAGCCAGCTGATTGTGGAGCGCTCGGCCAAAGGCAACAGAGCTTCCGTCAAGGAACAAGGTAAGAGGACCCTCCCCGTGCGTGTGCGCTGGCCCGGCCGCCACGCCGCAGGCAGCCTGCGCTGAGCACGCCCTGTCACCTCGAGGAGACAAGGCTGCCAGGACCCACTCGCCAGCCTGGCCTCTCTTCCCTCCTCCTCCGCTTCCTTCTGCACACACTTCTGTGCCCTCTGTGGGCGACTAGCTGCTGGTTACAGTTAGCCCCAAAGCTTGGACGTGCTTCCGATTAGGGCCCATCTCTCGGAGCAGTAGCAACGCCTCCTCCGGAGTGTGGGCCTCTCAGAAAAGGGTTTCCCGCCTGCCCTGTCAGGGCTGCTGCCTCCTGTGTGCTTAGATGTGGACAGGAGGCGAGTGTTGTACAGGCACGTCCAGAGGGGTGAGCGAACTTCTGGCAGAAGCAAGGGCTGTTGCATGATGCTGGGACTGTGGGTCCCGGGTGTGGAGGTGCTATGTCCAGGGTGACGGTGCGGGCGGAGTCGGGGCTGTGTTCTGTGGGACCCTGTGTGCTCACCTCTGGTGGGGCAGTGGGATCCTGGACATTTGAATATTCTCAGTCCCCTCGGGGGGGACTTGGCCTTCTCAGCTTGGTACTCAGGGACACTTCCTCAGACCTGACCCCGCTTCCCTGTGGTGTGTGCTTTGTCCCCATATTTG